AGTTTTTAGCAGTACGCAGGAGAAAACTAAATTGAACAGAGATGTAGGGTTTCGTTGGGTTATAAATATAGAGTCATCGGTTTACAAACATTAACTTAATTTTTTTATTAATTACTATTATTTTTTATACTATCTTTAAAGATAATTCTAAAATGATATGATATCTTTTAAAACTTAACAAAATTATTTAACTTTTAATATTATATATATTTATAAGTTAGTTTTAAACATTTATTAAATTTAATTACTTTAGTTATTTTATATATATATATATATATATATTTATTTATTTATTGTCTTATTATTTTAGGCCCAATAAAAATTAGGACATTATACAAGCTAGCCTAGACATTGAACTACGAAAGAAGTTTCAAGGGATAGAGTTCAAGGACTTTTATGAACTCACAACTAAAGTCTGTGGGTGCAAAAAGCTATTGAAAGAAGAGAATCACTATAGGAAACCCAGAACAGGAATATATTTTAGCGAACTTGACATAGATGTAGTTAAGCTAAAAAAATGTAGAGGATTACACATATCCAGCCTTGGTACGTAAGGCCACCTTTGAGGTCCTTTAACACCTTGAAGATTGAGGAGATTTTTGATTACTTGCTGAAGGAGAAATTCATTTCTTTGCCCATGGGCCACAAGATCCTATCCAGGTAGGAGCAAAAAGGCAAAGACTATTACAAGTATCATCACTCCTGGAGTCATGCTACTAAACCACTATTGGGCATTTAAAAATATATTGCAAGACAGAATCAATAAAGGCATGTTAAAGTTCCTAGGAAAGGAAGAGACTATGGTGGTTAACAAAGATTTGTTCTCACCTTTTACCACTATGAATATGGTGGAGCTAGACTCTAATTCTTGAAAGAGTAGGATATGTAGTAGGGGGTGAAAGGATCATGGCAAAATTGCCAAATTCTAGTATGATAAGGTCAGACTGGATCTCAAGTATTCCTAAAACATTTGAAAAAAACTAGGACAATTGAGAGAACTACTAAAAGAAGAGCTAGAGAGACCTACGGTGGTATGGGTTTGCTTTGGGGAGCCCTCTAGAAAATTTGATTTCTTTGTAAAGTATTTATCCCCGCCTAATGTAAGAAAATCATTCTGTGACAAACCCATAGGTTGAGATGTTGAACTCGAAACAAAGTCATATTAAGAGAAGGAGCTCCCTTTAACACTAAAGCCCACCGAATGTAGGGGTTAATTCGTCACCCCACCTAGTGACGTGCTGCCTAAATAGTAGAGGGTGGTCAAACACAGGAAATTTCTTAAAGTCTTGACTTGCACACAAAAGAGACACCTTCAGTGCAAGCAGGCCACCTAAAGGTGTACAGAGGCTTAAAGTTTTAAGTCAAAAAATGAGCTCTAGTTGAAGGGACAATAGTAAGTTTAAAAGACAATCCATAGAGGACTAAAGGGATAGTGGAAAAGAGACAAAGAACTTGAGTTACTAGATGCAAAGGATTTATGTAGATGATGTACCTTGTGTTGGAAATTGTGCCTTAAGGCCAATCATTGTATTGCGAACATTGTTATTTAATGAATTTCTCTTTTGTTATCATATTAATTATATGTTCACTATGATAACTATTTCCTTGGATAAACTATAGTTATTATCTTAAATGTCTCGAGTCGATCATCTTTGAAATATCATAGATAAAATAAGACTAGTATGACTTTTATTAATTATAGCGATATAAATCAATATCGTATACACTTAAAAGGGTTCGAGATGCTAGACCAACCCACTATGAGAAAGCTGCATGGCACAAATCATAAGTTTATCTCATATATATTCCTACATGATGACCATTGTACTTTGACCTAGTCAAAAGTCACCTTTAATTGAGTGATCATAAATGCTACAATTGAATTTAGTGATATTCATACAGAGGTATATGAGTGGTCAAGATGAAAATTATTCCTCACATTAATTAAGAGATATTATCGGGCCCTTCAATGAGTAATACTGAGAAAATATATGGCTATACTATGATAGAAAGGGTTTTTTCATTGTTATAATCAGTCCACTTAAAGATCAAAAAAGTAATGATCAGGTAAAGGAAAATGACAATTCTACATCTCACACTTGATCAAAATATCACGTGATAAAAGGAATATGATATGGTTATATGATAGGTTACATCGAATTATCGATCCCCATATGAATTGGGTAGTTGCAATGTCTTACTAAAGACCATTTGTAACTTGTGGGCTAGTAGCATAATTAGCCTACTGCTAACTTTATATGGGCTTATAGGGTCACATATAAGAATAGCCCAACTTGAGCTAAAATGTCTAAGTTCATTAAATTTGGAATGTGTCTAGATTCAATGAATATAATGCTTTATTTAGAGTGAATGAATTATATATATATATATATATTTAAATAAATATATATATATATATATGAAATATAAAAATTCAAAATATTATTTTATATATATATGTTCATGTGTGTTTGTGTATACATCTGATATATATATATATATATTATATTATATTATATTATATTATATTATATTATATTAGTTTTAAATTTAATTTTATATGATAGATTAAATTTAATAACTAACATGATATGAAAGAATATCATATCAATTCTATAATTTGAATTTATAAGATAAATTTAAATTAAATATGATATTATAGATTTTATTTATGAGATAAATTTAATTTAAATTTTCATTAACTTTTTAAAAGAAAGGCAAAAACCCTAATCTATATATATATATATATATATTATACTATATAGATTAGGGACATGCTTGATAAGGTTTTTGAGAGTCAGAAAAGTCCTGATAGCAAAACACAATGAGAGCCATGAAACCACCTTAGAGAAAAGCGACATTCGACATTTAAAAAAATGGATGGACGTTTCAAGCGCTAGCACGCCATTCAAGTTGGAAATCTATTCATGTGGATATCAATAAAGGGAGCTGATCTACATTATCAACTTCTGAGATCTAACTTCTTGAAGACAACACATAAGAAGTTAGAAATATAAAAGGTAACTCTTTTATACACTTTGACTTAAACAAGTTTGATTGGTCTATAATTATAATTGGGGATTTAATTTTTTTTATTATTTCACTACGCCCCAATCCAACACCCTAAACCTTTGTGGCATTTTTTCATTAATACTTCCTTTACACTTTAGTAGGACTGTGGAATCTAAGACATCTAACAGTCTTGGTATAGAGATACTCTATGGAACACTTTAAACTGAGCAGGTTGAGGTGGTGGACACTAATATAGACACGAAGATAGAAGTAAATGAGCCGTGCCATTATTATCTTATAGAAATTATAAGGGAAAGAACAAAGAGGAGCACTCACTATGGGTATGCCTAGCATAAAGGGCTCAATAGAGGTACGGATGGTAACCAAGTCTTCAAATAGAGAAGCAAAAGGGATGACCTAAGACGATTGTGTGGTGCCATAGTAAAAGGCCATTGTAGTCAGAAAAGAAAACAAATGGAGAAAATGAATGCTGGAATATGTGAGATTGTAAAAGATGCAAAGTGACAGAAACTTGAAAAGCGAGAAAGTAATAAAGAGTACATTGATGACAATGGAAGAAAAAAGGGTTTTATGTTTATGAGGAGACAAAAAGATAAAGCACCAAATTACATAACTAAATAGACATGCCATGTGGCCTACGATCATTAGCCATTCACAAGAAGGGGGCATTGTTTGGGCTTAAAATGAAACATTGATTAATAGAAGTCCAGAGAAAAAAGAGAGGAAACGTTAGGCCTAATAAGCCATTATTTAAGACAAGGCTCGATCTACTTCGAGGCAAGCTTCTAAGCTAAACACATGCTGAGTTGGTGAGAGAAACCCTTGAGAATTGGAACTACCAAGTATGGAAGACCATTATTATTTGGACATGGGACCATTATCTCAACATGCCCTAAATCTTGCAAGATTGTGTCAAACTAGGTAAGCGTTGAGTTGTGAAAGAAACGTGACTCTTAAGACTTGGAGCAAGCGAGCCAGGAAGACCATTATTTAAATGTAGAGTCGTTACTTGGACATGCCTCAAATCTCACGAGACCATTCCATGTGTAGCAAATATTTCAGCATACGGGTTCTAAACGTTATGAGACTAATAGACTTAGACCAACATTATAAATAGAACTCCAAAGAGGAAAGAAAGTAGCAATGAACAATCGATACCTCATAGACATTTCATTACTCAAATTATCTTTTATTTTGTACTTAAAATTCAATTCTTATATCAATTCTTTGTAATTCTGTAACTTAGTTTTTAGCAATCAAACTATATTTTTTCAATTATCCTTGCATCTTCACATCTCAGTAAATTGAAGTAAAGGAGTTGGAGACCTTTTGTTTGCATTTAAAACTCCATGTCTTTGACACACCTAGTAATAGTCCAAAACCACGAACAATATCTAAACAAGTTTTTTTATATTATTTTTAGAAGTAAAAATCAAACAAACCCTAATTAACTAACGAGACTTCAAAGTCATGGTATATGTATATATATATATATATATTTGGTAAATAATTTTTATATATTATTCCATAGTTAAACTTTTTCTAATTATAATGTAATTATTTTAGCTTTTTTTTAAATCAAAGTTGACGTTCATATCTAACTATAAAATAAATAAATAAATTTTAAATAAAGATGAGTATTTGTATTTATATATTGTAATAAAAATTTTCAAAAAGATACCACATAAAGAGCTAACCAAACTCGCCAAGTATTTTTTTTAAGTATAAAGATTAAATATTATTATAAATAATATGAGTATTTTTTTTCTTAAAAATGTTTAGATAAACTAAATCTTAGGAGTTCACCGAGGTGAAGATATAACTTCAAGTTTAAAAAATATTTATAAAAATACTTATAAATCATTGATCAATAATAAACTTACATTGAGATTTAAATTCACTGTAATATAATTACATAAACCAGGCGAGCCTCACCGAACTAGACAATTATAAAATGACACAATCTAAAAGAGAAGATGACGTTAAAATAGAACTAGTAGTTATAGCAACTAGTAATCGTAATAAAACATTGATCAAAGAGGCTTATAAGATTGTCATCAGAAAGTATACCACCGAACAGGCAAATTGCAGAAGGAAATATGCCAACGAACACGCCTCCTTTGTGGATCAACACTTAAAATCAAAGCCCTAGTAAACGACAAAAAGGCCGAAACCTTATAATAGATAATATATAATTGTTTCATGTGAAAACACTGAGAAACCCTGAGGTTGGAAATGCAACGATAAGGACGGCCAAAGCCACAGCTAATATGTCGGCGAAGAGAGGTGGTCGAAGTGTGCTTCCGATCGAACCTGAATCCGCCGAGCTGTTGGACCTTGCGGTGACGGCGTTGGTGGTGGCCGGGGTCGCCGCCGATGAAGAATTAGCAGTCTTGAAGATTGCTGCGTCCGGCGAGTTAGCAGGGAGACCCAGAAGATCTGTTCACGGATACGCGCAATAAATCAGTAAGATTGGAAAATCCGCGAATTTATAAAATAATTTCTTTTCAAAAAATTTAGAAGTTCATTAGATAAAATTCACAATTTTAATTATTAAATAAACTTTTAACAATATTCTTCGGATTATAAAAAAAATCTTTCAATTAATAAGGAAAATAATAAATATATTTAAAAATGAAATAAGAAAGAGTAATATTAAAAGAATTATTATATTTTAAGACATCAAATTACTGCTAAAAATATCTTAAAAATAAATAGGGTGCCCAAACCAGATGACTAAATAGCTTGGTACTACTCTCTAAACTTTTTTCGCTAAAATTAGGATCAACATTCACAAGTGGCGTTAAATAGCACAAAAGATTTTTTAAATTGTAACCAAAAATATTTTTAAATTTGTAATAAATTATATATATAATCATAATTAAAGACTAATTATAACTTATAAATATAGATATTTAAATATCAAGAGACTACCTGTTTCTCAGTTAATATCTTCGATACTTTATTAGGTTGTGCCTAAACCTAACAAAAAGGACTCGGATTATTTCTATACTTTTTTTATCAATAATCTCTCTATATACAATCTTATTCGTCCATAAGATTTAATGACCAAGCGTTTATTATTATAATTTAAATTATTTTAAAAACAAGATCATAATATTTATTTATGTTAGTAAATAAGTGAATGATATATTTAATTTAATCTCACAATTTACATGCCATTAAACTAAATAGACAAACAAAGATTACATATGGAAATTAGTATTTGAAAAAAAAAAATGGAGATGTTCAATCCAACCAAGAGAGTGCAGTACGGTACTTTCCAGGAAAAGCTTCTCTATACTAGACCACACGTAATTAATAGCAATAGATTGTAGTATCTGTTTAAATTTCCTAACATGTTTTTATTAACTGCTCGATGTTTCCACTCATAACTACCATGTTAATTATGAACACGAAAAGAATTACTACCTAAAATATTTTTAAATAAAATTTTAAATATTAATAAATTTTATTAAATATATTTAACAATTTTATCTTTTCAGTAAACTTTTAAAAATATTCATCATTTAATATATTGAAAAAAAGATGAAAATTAATTATAAAAAAAAAGATAAATTTAAAATTGATGTTTTTAATGAAACTTTAATATGTTTAAAATATTTTATATTTTGAAATGGAGAAACTCTTTTAAAAGTGTCTTATAATTTGAAAGTATAAAAAAATCTCAAAATTTTGAAAAAATAAAGGACAACTGATGATGTCAAGATTTTGACTACTAACAATAATATCGAGCAAATAAGGAAAATAGTTTTGAATTCAATAAGATTTTTTGTCCCATTACCCACATATGTCTTCATATTAAAGACAATATAATCATGTTAAAAACACCAACAAAATCAGTAAGTTCTTAATTCTAACATCGGTTGAGTCTGATTCAAACGAAATCAATAAGATCTCAATTAACAATATATATATATATATATATATATATCTCAGAGGATCTTGATATGCATGTAGGAACAATGACTTACTTGGACAATTAGACATGTTAACAGCCAATTTACAAGCAGAAGGAAGCTGAAGCAGCTTAGCTTCCGAAATCCCCAAGCTTTTACTCTGAGAGTTTCCGTTGTGCGTTTGCTGGATTACAAAGCACAAGCACTCCGGGCTGCTTTCCTTGATGCTCGACGTCGCCTCGCAGCACTGCTTTGTCGGCTCTGCCTCCTTTCCCGTCGCGTAGCTCAGGCACGGCATCACCTTCTGAATATTCTGGCTGCACTTGGTGGTCAGATCATTGGCTCCGGCTACCGATCGGCCACCAAGCAAAACAAGGCTCAAGCTCAAGATCAAGCACAAGCACAAGCTTTGGTGCTCCATAGTGGATTGGTCAATGTGAATCAGAAAGAAAAGAGATCAAGAAAAAGTGAGAAAAAAACACAAAGGTATGGGAAGAGGGCGATGGGAGATGCGTGGTATTTAATGTGGAGTTTGTGGTAAGTAACGTTCGGTGTGGGACGTTTGGGTGGCTGAGTTAATGGGTTAGTGAGAGAGATGGACGGTGGAGATGTGTTGTACATGGAGGGTACGTGGAGTGAACGGACGGATGAGAAGAGGGTAGTTTAGGTATATACTTGGATCCATTAATGATACTCGAACTTAAGTTACAATCGACTGTCGACATGTTGATTAAGGAATATTACATTATTTTTCTAGAACACTCGATATTCTGGCCGGGTTGAGCTGAGGGAATTTTAATGAAAATCCAGATTAATTTAAACTGAGTATGGCACTTTTTTAGATAAAAACTATATACCATTAATTTCACTCACATAATGCGAACGTAAGAGCTCTTAAGCCTATAAAGCTCTCTTATCAATTCAACCAAGTGTCTAGTAACTTTGTTTTAGATCTCTCAAAGGAAAGTATATTTCATATCACCTTATTTATAAATTACTTTTAATAAAATTGCACATAAACAGAATCAGGTTAGACTAACTTTATACTCAGTGCTTGGCCCAATGTATAATTCAATTAGGCTAGCTTGATGCCTCAGTATACGGGCCGAGTTTAATGAAATAATTAGTTATAAATAAATTATTTTATTAAATTAGTAAAAATATCAGTTTAACAGTTATTAGTTTAACTTGGCAAGTTAACATATATCTTCATACTATACAAAAAAGTATAGACAAACACAAAAATCATAGCAATACCTTGTAAATAAAATTAAAATAAATATTTTTTTTGGTTATATTTATAAACCACTTTTAATATGTTTCACATGAATTAAGAAAAATCTTAAATCTCATTAAATCTATCTTAAAATTTAATAAGTTTTTATCTTTATCCCGTATTAAAAAGACAAAAATTAAAGAACTATTTTTAATAATTTTTCCTAAAAAATAGTGAAGTTATCTATAAGACACTTTAGATAAAATATTACATATCAGTAAAACTCAATAAATACACTTAACAATTTTATTTTTTTAAAAATAAAATTATAAACTTTTAAAAATATCATTCATTTAATATATTAAAAAAAGGAACGAAAATTAAAGAGAATGAGAGAGAAAATATAATATTAAAATAAGTTTATCAGTAAATTCTTAATATTCTTAAAATGTTTTATATTTTAAGATGTTAAATTTTTTTAAAAAATCTCTTATAATTTCATATGGCGGTAGTAATAAAAGGAAAGGAGGATAAATGATGTTTTGGGAATAAGATTATTTGGAGGATTGTGAGCGGAGGAAGAATAGAGGCGCTTGGGTGAGTAAGTTATAACAAATAAATGAGTTAGTTGGGAGATTAATGAAGCTTGGTGGCTGGTAGCTGTGTGGATGAGAGACGCTATGACCATAATGTAACCGTTGAGCTGTGCTCGACCATACGTGTCGGGATTTAGTGAGCACGTGGCTGTGAGGGTGAGGTTTTTCTGATTAGTACGTGCATGTCATTAATGTCTTACCTCTAAATGTAGGATATAATTTTTCAGTTTTCAGTTTTCACTGCAAAGGAAAATGACACAAAAATCTTCGGAAATAAAATAGGCAAGTTGCAAAAATCGACTGTGAAGTGGGATAATTATTTAAAATTTTTGTTGCCCATTTCAAAAAAAAAAAATCTCACAACAGTAAGCTGCCAACTAGAGATTAGTTGACTTGTCACTCACCAAGCGTTCTTTGACATTCGTTAAAAGAAAATAATCATTGGCTTAACATTACCCTTATTTATATTACTAAAAAAATGTGAATTAGTGAGAAAATTTAATGAAAAATTATTTATTTTTTTTTAAAATGTTAAATTATGAGGGATGTTAATTTTTTAGCTAGACTTAAAATTAATGAGGAAAACAGTGAAGGAGTCTCAATTCCTATTTAAAATAAGATAATTAACGAAGAAAAAAGTGAGAGACTATCATTCCTCTCTAAAATTAGATAATTAACAAGGAATTTTGTCCCTAAACAATTATTGAAAAAAATTGACTTTTAGAAATGAATTTTAATTAATTATATATTTAATCTTTATTTAAAAATAAAAATTAAATTTAAAAATTAACTAAAATATTCATAATAAGATTATTTAATATTTAATATTTTCTTTATTTTAAGGTCACTTTTCTTACAAAAAATAATAATTTATTAAAAAATATAATATAAAGTGTCATATAAATACAAACATAAATATTTTTAACATATTAATAACTAAAAATAAAATATAATATACATGTGTATTTTTATAATATATTATTTGATATATTTGTGTATAGTTAAATAATATATATTTAATTTTTTATATAATAATTGTATGCGTATTTCAATTCAACTAGTAAAGAAAGAGAACATAAGGTTTGGGGAACGTAGAAGGTCAAGGAATTAAGCCTTAGCCTTGTTATAAATATAATAAATATATGAAATGGTAGTGAGCAGGTGATGTGGCACATGTGGTGGATAATGAGGCATGAGATGGTATGTGACATGACATGAACTGACCCACATGTAATCAATGACGAGGCATTGGTGATATGGCATCAAGTTACCATTTTTTAAATGCATGCATATTTAGTGAGAGATTATCAAGGAATTAGAGAGAGAATATATTTTGTCACTAAGTTTAACAAGACTGTTTTTTGCAATGAAATTGGAGAAGGACAACATTCCTCGCTAAATCAATTTTTTCTAATAGTGTCCATTCTAGGGATTAATAAACTTGTAAGCTAATAAAATGAATTTGGACAAAGTAATTAGTTGTCACTCACTAAGCATTTCTTTTATTTGTTAAAACAAATAATCGTTACCTAAACCAATATAATCATTTAGTTAAAAAAGGATTAATATTTTTCTAATCATTGAAGGTCCAGTAGCTAGTGGCCAAAGTTAGTAGTAGTGGGTTTTTTTCTGAATGATAACTGAAACATACTACTACTAGCCAACCCAAGCAATACAAATCAATGTTGTGAAAATCGAATTGGACCAGACAGTCCGACCGTTACCCACTGAGTAAAGCGGTCTGGTTCAACCAATTGAGCCGTTTTAGCTGTTGGACCGGATTGAACCAAACAGAACCGTCCGGTTTTCATTGAACCGGAGTTGACCCGAAACTCAGAGACTGTTCAACATGGGTCAATCTAGGTCAGTTAAAAAATTTTAAAAAAAACTTACTCGTACATGACGTCTCAGTCTCACAGACTCACACTCACACCTCACGGCTCAGTCACGTCCTCAGACTCCTCACGTGTTGTCACCTTCACCTGTTGGTCTAATCCAAGACTCAGCACTCAGGAAAATAAAATTAAAAAAATGAAGAAAGCATTCACAGTTTTGCACTCGCACCACCTCCAGACCAGAGCCACCCACACGGTTACACCACACCACAGAGACCTACTTGTCAGACGTCATAACGGAGCATGGAGTGATCTTGAGCATTCTTTGTCTCTCTTCTCCAAGTCTTGCCTTCCTCGTCTCTCTCTCTCTTCCGGGTTCATTGTAGTAGATAGTCACAGATAACCTGAGCTGAGATTGAGACCTCACTCTCACCATCTCGCGATCGTTGCTCGCTTGAGTCTTGACCTTTCACACTCACAGTCACAGTCTCACTCTCACACCCTTAGATTAGAGCTCAGAGCCTCAAACTTATCTCTCAAAGCCTCACCGTCTATCTAGCCTCTGGTCTTAGCATCTTGCTCTCACCTGATCTGTCTCATACTAACAGTCTCAATCTCACATGGTCACACCCTTAGAGCTCAGACTCATCTCTCGAGTCTCGTCGTCTCGCACAGTCGCACCTTTAGTCTCACTCTCACCTTTCTCTATTTCTCATCTCCAATCAACTAATCAAGCCATCAAGCCTTCAAATTTGAAATCTCACTCAAATCTCATATTGTACTCTATTTTTCATTCGTCCTCCTCTCACATCTCACTCGTCATTCTCAGCCCAGACCCAAATTGCCTCCAACTCCTCCCAGGTCCTAGCTCTAGGTAGTGCCTCTGCCTCTATGTGATTCTTATTTTGCTCCAGCTTGTTTGATTCTTGGTGTGCTCTGCTCTCTTTCCAGGTTTGATTTCTAGCTTTTATGTTCTATCTATGTATTTGAGTTTGTATAATGAGTAGTATGTATATTATTTACATGATTCGTCCAGCCATTTATCTGTGTATGCTTGTTTGCTTTATTTTTTATTGCTCTGTTATTTATTGATATGGAATTCTAGATATGATCTAATTATTCTGAGTATGATCTAATTCCTGGCTCTGCTCTCCTTTTCACGTTTTATCTGTGCTTTCAATTTAGATTTAGAAAATGTCATCTGAACAAATATCTAGTGCTGCATCTATACAATCTATTAGAGCTAAGTTAGATTCTACATGGGAGCATTGTACTGAAATAGCAAATGAAAAGGGTGGCAAACCTTGCTTAAGATGCCTATACTGTTGAAAGGAATTTGGTAGTGGTGGAATAGACAAAATGAAACAACACCTTGTTGGGAAAAAAGGAGATGCAATTAGTTGTAAAAGTGTGCCACATGATGTTCGCTATTGATTGGAGGAAAACTTGAAGGAAATTGATCAAAAGAGACTAACTAAGAAATTGAGAAAACAAGAAAAGGATAATCCATTGGAAGTAGATGATGGAATTGTGCAAGAAGTAATTCCTCTAAGTTCATCTCAATCAGTTAAAAAAAAGGCATCTACAGCTGGAGATAAATTCTTTGCCCCAAGGACAACCTCGGGAGCACAGCCAAGAATTCAAAGTGCATTTGCAGGTAAAGAAGCTTGACATAGAGCAGATTTAGCTATAGTTAGATGGTTGTATGATTGTTGCGTTCCTATGAATGCTGTAAATTCTATTTACTATCAGCCTATGATAGATGCTATTTCAGCTATTAGCCCTGGTTATAAAAGACCAACTTACCATGCTGTGAGAACCAAATTATTGCAAGACATGAAAGAAGAGGTGCAATTT